ACAAATTAAACTTACATTCATATTTAAATGTTTCAGCATGTTGTTGTTGTTCTTTAGGATTAGCTTCAGTTTTTAATTTTCTATTTTATTTATTTTGTTTGCCTTCCTCAACAATGACGACTATGATCTATGGAAGCACCAAAGTGTCATTTTAATTTAATATAAATAAAAGGCAAAGCAGGGGATGAGTAAACTATTAATCCGGCTGTCAATCTGTTAGGATCTGAAGTTACAGAGCCCACACCCTCCTTAGGGTAGTTTTTATTGAGTGCACGACAAGAGCAGTTTATCTTTTTTGTAAAAATATTTCTCTTACTTTATTTATTTTTTTTTAATTCCTCTTGTTAATTGTAATTCTCTACCCATTTTTCCAATATTTTCATAGTTTTTTTTTTATTATTATTATTATTATTTCACCCTATGCAAGGCAATAAAGCCACTAAGACACAAGGGATTACAAAGTGTGAAAGAATAAGAAAAAAGAGAAACATTAAGGAAAGAGAGCAATAGAAGAGTAATCAAAAAGGCAATAGATAATTATTAATATTGTATTTAAGTTTTTGAAGATCAAAGTTGGCTGGAAAGCATGAATCTGGAAGAGAATTCCGCAAGCAAGAAATGTGAGAGAAGAAACTGTTAACATAGAACTTACATCTATATCCAGCCAATTCAACTGTAAGTTGATTAGACCTTGCTGCTGATCTAGTACTGTGCTTAAATTCATTAAGTCTAGGTACCATAGCGGATAGTTCACCCAAACAATTATCATGATGTTATTTATAGAACAGGCACAAGGAAGCTAAATTACAACAGTGTGAAAGTGACTGAAGCCAAGATGCCAGGTCAAGACTAATAATATTACTGGTTCTTCAGATTCTCTCAAGAATCTCTAAATATATAGCAGAAGCACCAGACCATATGTGGCAACAATATTCAAATCATGGATGAATGGTAGACTTATAGATATCTAAGATTCTTGAGAAAAAATTGTCAAGCATGACAGTGAACCAATTTTCTTAGCAGCAGACCTAGCAATTGATTTTAATATTATAATAGGTTTTACTTTCATTTATTAATCTGTTATTTTACTTATAAAGTTTTTTAATGCTAACTTACAGTTTGCCATTGGCAGCTCTTAATCTTGATGCCAAGTCATTTCATATTTACAGAAGCTATATAAAAACTAGCATAGTACCCATAAGAAATTGAGATTATTTATATACACATCATCAATTGAGCCTAGGATAAGAGTAACATTCCAAGATAAAAAAAAATATACTTCACCTGAGGATCAGTCTAGTATCTGTGCACTCTGTGAAAAAAGTTGCACACAAAAATATGTCCCTTCCTATTTATCTGTCTATTTATATGGGCCTGCATTCAGTTTTCCTTCTAACTGGCTGCCACCCAAGCAGAGCTCATTTTCATTAACCAGTTTCAAAATTGTCTGACTCAAAAGCTGTTTTGTAAAATAATGGCTTTTTTAAAAAAAATCATTTATGCTATTGTTCATCCAATACAAGACCCAAGAACAACTCAAGGCAGAGAATTACTGAATGAAGTTGTTGTATGGATGTGAGAATTGTAGATTATGAGGTTTTGTTTTATTTTTTTTGTAATCATTTCATTCCAAGCAAGGCAATAAAGCCACTAGGACACAAGGGGTTACTGAGTGCAAGAGAATATGAGAAAAAGAACAGGAATTAAGAAGACAGAAAATAACAATTGGCATTGCTTTTAAATTTTTGAAGATCAAAGTTGACTGAGAAACAAGAAACCAGAAAAGTCACAAAAGCGAGAAGTGCAAGAGAATAAACTGTTAGCAAAGAAATTATGGTTACATCTAGCCAGTTCAGTTGTAAAATGATGAGACCTAGCTGCCAATCTAGTACTGTGCTTTAATTCATAAAGTCTACGTACCAAAGAGGAAAGCTTTTCAGAACAATTATCTTGATTTGTATTTTATTAAGAATCTCTAAATATGTAGCAGAAGCAACAGACAAGATGTGTCAGCAATATTCAATGCACAGATGAATGGTAAACTTATAAATCTACAAGATAGGTTTGGGTGACAAAAATTGTCTAGCATAACACAGTGAACCAACTGCCCCAATTTTTCATATATATATATATATATATATATATACACACACACACACACACACAATGGGGGAACAAATATTCATACACATAGAAATTTTTGGTATTTCCAACTAATGAATAAACATACTTTTTATATAATTAACAGTACACAGATATATAATAACGAAATATGCATAGAAAACAGAAAAAAAAATAATTTAATAGAAATAAAACCCATTTATTCATTTAAATGGGTGAAAAAAATGTTTGTTTTTTCGAAAATCGTAAATTTTTTTTTATATCTGTTATACCCACCACCCTCACTTAATTTTATGAAAATTTGAAAATTCAAATCTGTAATTTTTTTTTTTAATTAAATGCAGAAGACTTTGAAGAATATCTTTTTTTTTTTTTTTTTTTTTTTTTTTGTAATTCGAGGTATGTTTTTACCCAAACTTTAGCTCTAAATTGTAAAATACAAAAAAAAACAATAAAATTAAGATCTTATTTAATTAGAAAAGCTTTTAATGGCTTTTATGAATAATATCTATTAAGGACATTTTTTCTGAAGCCAAAATATTTTTTCAATGAAAAATGAATTTTTATGACAATTGTTTCTTTTTTTTTTTTTTTCAATTTTAATACAAAATGTGATAAAGTTGTTAAATATTTTAAAATTAAGTTTGAATTTGTGCATCTCTGGAAATGTTCTTATTAAAAAAATCTATTTTTACAGATCATAAATATGAAGACTTATTACAATCTGCAAAGCATTTCTATTTTTACAGTAAAAAAAATGTATTAAAAACGTTTCTGGCAAAACTAGATACACGATTCAGAAATAATGTCCCATGTTTTATGAGTTGCTTCTCCTGATAGCAAGGATCCGGCCTCATAAATTATGTTGATTTCATATCAAATTCTCTGACTGACCGACCGTCATTGAATCTTCAAAATTTTTAATTTTCTTTTCTTTTTTTCCTTTTTTTTTTCCCCTTTTTCTTTTTCTTTTTTCTTTTCCTTTTCTTTTTTTTTTTTTTTTTTTTTTTTTTTTTACATATTTCACTAAATATTTTCTTTTCATTTTTTAAATATAATCATTTTTTTTCTTTTTCAGAGAGAGATATACTGCAATTATCAATTTTTTTCTGTTTTAGATTCAGTTTTAGGGATGGAAACAGTGCAGGCTTTGGACATATCTTTGTTAAAAAAAGTACCTAAAAAAATCAATAAAATATTAGACTTTTGAAAGTATTTAATTTTTAAGAATTATTTTATAGTTAAATAAGCTGGTTCACTTAAAATTCAAAAATACTGTCACTTCTGCTCTTCTGTCCGATAAATTGCTCTGATGTTACATTGACATAAACTAAACATCAATTCACACCTCAAAAAAAAAAATCACCACAGTTAGACATGCTTCTCATTTCCAACTAAATTTTTTTCTGCTAAAAAATTAAGTAATGTTTGTTTCATTGCATTAAGTATATTTTAATTTTCTAATTTTCCTAAAATAACTTTTGAAAAAGTGTAATTGAATTTTACAAGATTTTTAAACAGAAAATTTTATTTTTGTTTTCAAAATTGTTAAAAACAACTGATATGATTGATTTTATGTAAATTTTGATGACTCAAAAAAAAAAAAAAAGATTTTTAACTTAAATTTCAGACGTGCTAGAAAAGATTAAAAAATTTTTTTAAATATTTAAAAGCTACTTTGATCTTTCCTCTTAATAATAACAAACATTTAGATGATAAAAAAATTGTTTAATCAAGTTTGGGGCCTGTTTTCATCAGGGTATGCTGTTTTTTAGCAAAGTATTGAACACGACTAAGGAAAAAAAAATATATATATATTAAGCGGTTGAAATTACTTACTGAAATGGCAAAAGTTTGTTTTTTTTAAAAAAATGGTTTTATGAGAAATAAATAAAATCTTTGAAATTTATTGAGTACACTAGCAAATAACTGAGGAACCTACCAACTAACATAAATGTTGTGAATAAAACTGAACATTTGGATCCTGGTCCAAGTAATTCAGGCCAAAAAACAAGAACAAACACTGATTACTCTCAAAACTTTACAATACAATATTCAATAGTTTTTGTAAATACAAATCTTGTCTTGTGCTTTTTTTTTTTTTTTTTTTTTTTTTTGTAGAAATATATTTTAGCAAATCTTTGTCAGTTTAAAGGAAATTATTAAGCTTTTGTTTCTCCTTTAACAAAAGTAAACGATCCCTTAAGTCAGTGCTTCCATTAACATTTGTAGACAAACAAAAATTTTGTCGGCTCTCATTGTTCTTTGTATTTGAAGTGATTCATTTCAGAAACAAATTTAGAATGTTGAATTCAGTAGCCTTTTGTGATTTAATTTGACTATTAGGAAATTTAAAATTTACAAGACACCATTTCTTCATTTATTTCTTATTATTGTTGCTTTTAAGTTTTAATCAAATGACTGGCGTCAGTAGAAGTTGTCCTATTTCTGCAATGAAGCATTTTTATTCATTTTGACTAGTTTATCTTTCATCTTATTGTAACTTTATATCAAAAGGGCTTGAATTGATTTAATAAATAGTAAATACATTAGTCTGAAGTTGTCCAAATTTCTTAGAGCATTTTCTTGATTCATTTTCACTAGTTTATCTTTCATCTTATTGTAGCTTTTTCTTTGGTTATTTTCAACCTTTGTTAAACAACATGCACTAGGAATAAAGAAATAACAAGGTTTGAACTTGCATCCTCTCTGTTTGGGATCCAGTGTAGTAGTAGATAACAAGATGAAAGACTAAATGAATCAAAAATTCTTAATTCACGTCCTTCATCTAAGAAATTACGACAATTTAAACATTGAAATCAGGCTTGATTCAGGAGAGATATCTCTAAAGGTTTTAACAACTTTTGAATGTTGTCCTGATGTTGTTTGGATGGCATATTGAGTATTATAGTATTATTATTATAAACAGTAGATTATCCTTTTCCTTTTGTCTTTTTTTTCTCCTTTTTTCTTTCTTTTGTTTTTCTTTTTTCTTCCTTTACCTTTTTTCCCTTTTTCTTTTTCTTTTTTCCCTTTTTCTTTTTCTTTTTTCCCTTCTTTCTTTCCCCCTTCTTTCTTTTCCTCCTTTCTTTCTTTTCCTTTTTCCCTCTTTCTTTCTTTCTTTTCCTTTTTTCCCTTTCTTTCTTTCTTTTCCTTTTTTCCCTTTCTTTCTTTCTTTTCCTTTTTTCCCTTTCTTTCTTTCTTTTCCTTTTTTCCCTTTCTTTCTTTTCCTTTTTTCCCTTTCTTTCTTTCTTTCTTTTCCTTTTTTCCCTTTCTTTCTTTCTTTTCCTTTTTTCCCTTTCTTTCTTTCTTTTCCTTTTTTCCCTTTCTTTCTTTCTTTTCCTTTTTTTTCCTTTCTTTCTTTTTTTTTTCCCTTTCTTTCTTTTTTTCTTTTCCTTTTTTCCCTTTCTTTCTTTCTTTTCCTTTTTTCCTTCTTTTTTCTTTTCCTTTTTTCCTTCTTTTTTCTTTTCCTTTTTTCCTTCTTTTTTCTTTTCCTTTTTTCCTTCTTTTTTCTTTTCCTTTTTTCCTTCTTTTTTCTTTTCCTTTTTTCCTTTCTTTCTTTCTTTCTTTCTTTTTTCCCTTTCTTTCTTTCTTTCTTTTCCTTTTTTCCCTTTCTTTCTTTCTTTCTTTTCCTTTTTTCCCTTTCTTTCTTTCTTTCTTTCTTTTCCTTTTTTCCCTTTCTTTTCCCTCTTTCTTTTCCCTCTTTCTTTTCCCTCTTTCTTTTCCCTCTTTCTTTTCCCTCTTTCTTTTCCCTCTTTCTTTTCCCTCTTTCTTTTCCCTCTTTCTTTTCCCTCTTTCTTTTCCCTCTTTCTTTTCCCTCTTTCTTTTCCCTCTTTCTTTCCCTTTCTTTTCCCTCTTTCTTTTCCCTCTTTCTTTTCCCTCTTTCTTTTCCCTCTTTCTTTTCCCTCTTTCTTTTCCCTCTTTCTTTTCCCTCTTTCTTTTCCCTCTTTCTTTCTTTCTTTTCCCTCTTTCTTTCTTTCTTTTCCCTCTTTCTTTCTTTCTTTTCTCCCCCTTCTTTCTTTCTTTCTTTTCTCCCCCTTCTTTCTTTCTTTCTTTTCTCCCCCTTCTTTCTTTCTTTCTTTTCTCCCCCTTCTTTCTTTCTTTCTTTTCTCCCCCTTCTTTCTTTTTTCCACTCTTTCTTTTTTTCTTGAAGATTAGATCCTTCCTTTTGTCTTTGTTTTCAGCTACCATCCCTACCTATGTTAACCAATTTTTCTGACTATTCCCATTTGTCCATCACCATCATTATGTTGCCATTGACTGCTGGCTGGATGAGGATTTCAGTATTGTTCTGCAGATTTTGATTGCCATTTTCTCTGGTGATGCTCCCTTTGGAAAGCTTAGCTTTCATTGTATGAATTGATTTACTTTTGCTTAGATACTTGCTCTTGGCCAAACTTATAAAGCCATTGTCCATGTCATACCATCTCCCAGGGATACGGGATGCAAGTCCTAACCCATGCTGCATACTTAGCAGCCTTACAATATAAATTAACATAAGCATTGCAGTAAATGAAACAATGAGATGAAAGATAAACTGGTAAAAAATGAATTGCATCAGTTTTTTTTTTTTTTTTTTTTTTTTAATTAAAATCAAACTAGTAGAATTTTTTATTTTTACTTTTAAAATTTTTCTATTTTTTTTATTTTTTTAGATTTCTTGCTTTCTTTAGATTTGTAACTTTTATCAAAAAATGTTTTATTTTTTCAATAGTTTTTTAGTTTTTAATTTTTTTACTTTCTTTAGATTTGTAACTAGTGATATTTTACTTTTTTTTTTTTTTTTTTTTTTTTTTTTTTTTTAACGGATTTTTACTTTTAAAATAAGTAAAAACCTATATCATTTGATTGGCTATCAATGTGAAACTGTTGATATCCTACACAATTGGATTAGAATACCTATATAGAAATTATTGGTAAATTTTTTTATCTGAGTTTGTTGACCAAAAAGAAATAAAATCTGTAAATAAATGAAGATTTTCAAGAACAAGTGCCACTTAGCTGGAAGTTAGAAAGTTCCCCTTAGAGGAAACAATCAAAATTAGAATGGAGGGTAGTTTTGATACTGCCTATTGGCTGGGTACAGGCCATCCTTCAAAAGGTTTTGGCAACAGAGAGTAGTTTCAAGCCACCTGAGGGCAAGTTGTCAGCTATGCTTTGTGATATAGAGATAAGCAGAGGAGTAGTAGGAGCGTTCTCACTAACCAAAGGGAAGTGCTGATCTGTTAGTCTGTCATGACAGAACATGGCAGAAATTGTCCCAAGTGTCACCTACCTTACCCACCAGTCTGTCAATGAATCTATGAACAAACAACCAGATACACATGAAACAAGAATCACCTTCTCATTTATCACTGGTGTTAATTTCGCCTATCATTTTCCTTGTGAACATACAATGGTCCTCTCCTAGTTTTTGTGGCATATGGCCACATAATGTTGAAGCAGCACTTCCCATATGATTGCTGAAGTTAAGCAACATCGAACCTAGTCAGTACTTAGATGGGCAAACACTTATGAACACTAAGTGCTGAATACTTGGAATTGTTACTTGGAGAGCCAAGGGAAATGTATGAATCCATCTCTTCTCCCCCCATCCCCCAGCTTTGGGTTAATTAGTAAGACATGTATCATTAAACCATTATCTCCAAAAATGAAATAAAATTGCATACAAAAGATTAAGATGTTGGTAATAATTAATCCATAGAGGTTGATATGCCACTAAGCAAAAACAACCAGCCAGTTTTTGTTGTGCGTCAATGATGCAGATGGGAATCTAAACACAATATGGGATGATTTGTCAAGTTTGTGAAAGGTTGAGAGAGGATCTTGTGGAGAGGGATATATTTTACATCAAAATATTTTTAATAACACATTTTTAAAATTTTTTTTCTTTCTTTTACCTTTTTTGTGTTGATTTGGATGGTTTTTCTTTTCTTTTTTTATTCCCTGGGCAATGCTGAGTATCCTTGCTACTATTAATAATACTAATAATTTTTTTAGTTTCATTTTTCTTTAAGTAAAAAACTGAGCCAGTAAACAATAGAAAACTTGTGCCTATAAATATTTGACTTTCTAATCAACCTATAAATATCTTTTATGCAAAACTTTTACAACAAATAGTGTAAAGGATTTTACTAATTTAGGTCAGAATGATGTTAGCATGTTGGCTGTGTCAGAATGATTTGACCTTGTTTAAATTAGGCTACAGTTTAAAACAACCTGTTATAGAGCGTTCATTTGAGAATGTCTCTGATAGGTGATTAGCATTTTCCTTATCTTTGGCTGTTAAAAATTTAGTCCTCTTTCTTAGCTAAACTGCCTGGTGGTCTATGATTATAAAAAAAAAATTCACAACTTATTCAGCTGCATTTTCAAAGTTTGAAACAAAATTCTGTAATTAACTAATAATTCTCACACTAGGAGATGCATTGATGTCTATTACCTAATGAAGTGCAGGGGTTCATTTATTTTCAACATAATTTCATTCTTTGTCAATGCACTTAATCCAGTGTATCTCTTTTAAGCACATATGTAGGTAAGGTACATCATTAAGCTTGTAGCCTAATGATTAAAAAGTGTTTTACACAACAAATATTTGGTTTTCAAGAAAATCTCCTTTGTCAATGCACTTAATCCAATGTATCTGTTTTAAGTACATATCTAGATACATCAATAAGTCTAACCTAATAATAAAAAAGTGTTGTTTTTTTTTTCTTTTACACAAAAAATTTAGTTTTTAACATAATCTCCACCTTTGTAAATGCACTTCTTAAATCCAATGTTTCTCTAGTAAGCAAATTACAGTGAAAAGTTACGCTCCTAGCTTATTTAAAATGAGAAATGAAGGTTTTTCTCTCCTTCTATATTGTCAGCAAAGCTACCTTCCGCTACCCTTTCTGTTGCACTTACATGTCCAAATATACCCAAAATATGTACAAATTTGTAAGGTTGTGTGGAGTGAGTGGGGAAAGAATTTTTATATAACAAGTAAAACATAGTTTAACATGAAAGCCCCACCACCCACACACACACCTCACAGGCCATCTCTCCTCCTTTCCTCTTCTTTCATCCACCTTTCTTTGTTTATATTTTCCTCTCTCTCTCTCTCTCACACACACACCTCACGGGTCATCTCTCCTCCTTTCCTCCTCTTTCATCCACCTTTCTTTGTTTACATTTTCCTCTTTCTCATACACACACACACACACACTGTACTGTCACATTTTTTCCCCTTTGACCTTAAAGTAGTTTTCATACAGATGCAGACAGAATGGAAACTCTTGAAAAAGAGGCCAATAAAAAAAAAAAAAAAAATTTAAATGATTCCAGTGATATTAAATGGATATGGCCATACTTTGGAAAAAGTAAGAAAATATTTGGGAGGTGGAGCTGACAACCAACCATCTTTTTGCAGTGTTGTCTTAAAATTTTACCAAAATTATTATTATTACAGAAACATCAGTTTAACCATTAATTGTCTTTCTTCTAACAATGAGAGAGTGAAGTTACTATCATAGATTTATTCCCCAAAATTCAGAACACCATAAATTTACTTCCCACACATTAAAATTTGCATTATGACATTTAAATTAAACATTTGGAAACTTAAGCTTTCAATCAAGAAAATCAACATCAATAAATAGGCTGTTTTTTTTTTTTTAGGTGGGGGGTTGTTTTTTGGGGAAGGTCAATTTAACCCAATTCAAGGACCAAAAATCTATGCCGATTTGATAGCAAAAATGAAAAAAAATCTTGAGTCTTTAAATCTTTTATTGCTTCCTTGATTTTTTTTTTATATCATGTTTGAATAATACTTAGAGGAAAAAAAAAAGGACTGGCAACAAAGATTGGAAAGGATAAGGGATAAATTGAGAAGATACAGGCAAATGGTGAAAGAAGAGCAGAGGCATGAGATAATGGATAATCTTAGTTGTATTGGAAGGGACAAGGGAAAGAACAAGCAGATACAGACAAGAAGGTGTGAGAGAAAAGCAGAGGCATGCGAACCTCAAAACTCTATATATTTATTTTCCATGTATTTACCTTATGACATTTAAAGTGAACATCTGAAAACAATAGTTTCCAATCAAGAAAATTGGCATCAATAAATAAAGTCTTTTTTCAAATTAATACAAATTCAAGAATTAATATCAAATAGGATATAAATTAGGGATCAAAGTGTAGTATCTATTTTCATTATCTCTAATAGTAATGGTAATATTAACTGTTTCCTTGCAAGGAAACATTCGGTATTCCTTGACTGATCAGCTAGTGCTACTTAAGTTACACTTTTTTTCCCTCCCTGGCCATTGCACTAGGATCAGTGTGTAGTATCTGTTCTCATCGCTAATGATAATAATAGCCATTTCCCTATAAGGAAGCATTTGGCATTCATTGATCAAACAGCCAATGCTAATCTAGTCACTTAATTCGCTGGCCATTGGGCTGGGATCAAAGGGTAGTATCTGTTCTCCTTATCTCTAATAATAATAATAATAATAATGGTAATATTAACTGTTTCCTCACAAAGAAACATTAGGCATTCATTGACCAAACGGCTTGTGTTACTTCTGGCTGGAATTTATAAAATCATTCTCAAGTCCAGTAACTATTGTTGCTCTTTCAGGTATTGATATTGGCTTCCTTCCTAACCTTTTGTTTGAAGCGGTGTGGATTATTAACATCTTTATTATATCATAATCTTCTTTGAGTTAGATGTGGTATCCATTTTGTTTTTTTGGTACTGTTGGAAGTATTCAAGTGATGTGGTTTCTGCTATTTGATACAGTTCTTTGTGATTCTATAGTGCCAGTTCACAAGATTAAAAAATATATATATGATCCTTGCTAGGACCTACAAGCTTTATTTGCTCAAAAACAATTTTAATTCTTGACCTGAGAAAGCAGTTTTATAATGCTGACAGTTTTAGATATTTTTGAATGAGTTTGGTGCCATAGACGGATATGCAATGTAATTGGCCCTGATTTGGCATCTCGTTTACAGTTGCTCTTGCACAGATGTGCCATCATTGCAATCTGTCTTTTCTACAAATACTTTCACAGTAACTGCTCTGACAAGCTACTTTCGCTAGTTCCCAAACTGCATGAATTTAAACATGCTACTAAGTTGGCATCTCAGTCCCACCCTTTCACTGTTAAAATGGTTAAATGTAGCTGTCTCTTCTACTCCAATAGCTTCATGTCTCGCACTTCCCATTTGTGAAACTCCCTTCCTCTTACTTGCTTCCCTGATAGCTATAATCTCCAAATATTCAAATGCAATGTCAGTCGACAACTCCAGATGCCTTGATCTAATTCCCCATCCTTCTCTTCATCCTTTCCTCTATCACGCCTCTTTACTCTTGATCCCACTTTTTGTTACCCCTTGCATACTAGTGGCACTCCCACCTTGCTTGGGGTTGTTGGAATTTTTGGATACCCTGGTGTACTAGTGAGCCAGCCAAAATGAGCTGACTCATTTTATAGTTCACCAATAGAAAGGTTAACCAATCAAAAGGCTCAAAATATTCAATGTGACGTGTATAAAGGCGGCCATGTTTTTCCCGAATACTCACTGCCAGCCTTTGATATTGAAGACTGAAGAATTACAGAACAGCTGCTGGTGGTATTGGCGATATAGTCAGATTCAGTAGAGTATCTGACTCGTGAGTGTTAATCTTTAACGTTGTTTCATTGAACAGATTACGTACTGCGCTGGATTCTATATTCATAGACTATGGTGAACATGGTCAATGGGTGAAATGCTTTAAAAAAAAAAAATATGAACGTCTTGATGAGTTGAGTTTGTAGGTTAAAGTTTTAGTTTTGTAGCAGTTTGCAATGTTGGGCAAAACTATCCCTGGCACAGCCTATTCTTTATTCAATTTCTTTATAATTTGTTATAACTGGGTATATATAAATATGTATGGTATCAGGGCTAGTGCAAGGATCTTGTGCACCCCCTCAATCTATGATAACCCCCCCATCTATGATTCAACACTAGCTCTGCTACATCTCAATTTTCATAAAGTAGTATTCATATAAAAATACAAATTTTATTGTAACCTAATTATGTACAATAATGGATAATATGCAATATAGGTGAACAATTCAATTAGAAAAACTAAAAATAAATACAATATATCTAAATACAAATTAGACAAAGGTCATAATAGATCATTCCATCTTAAATAAATCAATGTTTTACAGCAATTTTTAACATTGACTTGAGGTTTTTTTTCTTCTTGAAGAGTTCAATATTATGGATAAAAATAGTGAATTTTATATAATGTTTTTTTTTTTTTTTTTTTTTTTTGAGCATGAGTAAAAACAAATTCACAGATTTGGACAAAAAACAAGAATCCAGAACGATATTACAAGCCACAAAAATTTTTCATCCTTTAATAGCAAGTTGTTCTTAGTTTAATTTGTAAGTAGAAAAAGGAAAATGTAAATATTGATATAAATATTGATGTCTTCAACTAATCTTTAAAACATCGTTTTGGGCCTCTCACATCGCCTCTTACCACTGGTAAGTTCTCCAAACAGGATGATACATGAGAGTTGAGTGGGATGCATTCTAAACATGTGACCTCCCCATATGAGGTGATGTTGAAGAATGGTAGCATCGACAGAGGACCTTGTTGTTGGTGATGCCATCCTCCCAACTGATTCAAAGGATTCTACAAAGCTTAGCTTGCTGGATCTGCTCCAGATGTTTGATGTCCCAATGATACAAAGTCCGTGTTTCACAGCATACAGAATGGTCGAGAAGACCACCGCCCAGAAGACTATGATTTTAGTTCTTATGGTGAGGCCAGTATAGTGAAGACCCGGTATGAGAGCTTTTCGTACGTAGTATGAGCTGCTTTGATCCTGTTGTCTAGGTTTTGCTCACAGGTGATATTATTCAAGATCATGATTCCAAGATAGGGAAATTCATCAACAATGTCTACTGGCTGTGTCCATTGATGTTGATACTGATGTCCATTGCTGCTTGTCCAGGTTTCGGGTGGATGAAGAGCTTCGTATTTTGATATTTTTTTTTTTATGTTAAGATAGCGAGGGTTGCAATGCACTGCACAGGGTCCCCAATCAGGCTCCCACACCCTAGTTGGAGAGTGGAGGGTAGTATACACCGACCCTGTATGGTATCACTAGAGGTATGATTAATGAATTGGATGGTTGTTACAAGTAGTTGAGATTTAAATTATTTTGGAGCATATAGAATGTGCAGATAGTATAGTAATTACCAATGCAGAACATAGAATTGACAAGTAGTCCTTCCAATTGACAAGCAGAATTAAAAGCATTCATTTATGATGTAAATTTATTTGAATATGTTATTGCTTAAAATTACAAAGATAGCTTGCCTTAAAACATTACTGTCTAGAAATACCTGTTTGGCCATTTTTTTGTTTTTTCTAAATACAAACTGTGTGTTTGTGTATGCAAAAATTCAGATATAAATAAAATATACCTGTAAAGAGACAGTATGAATAAACACAAAAGGAAAACTTTTTTTTATCAATATGTTTCAACAAGGTAAATGATAAAGTCCCTCAGGACCAGAAATAATCATTATTTTTTTTCAAAATTTTTTCCTGTATTTCTATAAATTGGTTATGGCCATATCATGTAGAGAGGACAATAAAAGAACAAGATAGAGGATGATTGATTGACATTGCATTTAAAATTTAAATTGACTTACTTTTGCACATCTTAATTTTTAATTAATATTTTTATTTCAGCTTAGTAAAAAATTTTGAAAGCGGCTGTAATTGATTTAATAATGTTTTGTTTTTCTTTTTTAATGAATAATTAATTGACTGGAGGTTTTTCTTCTTGAAGAATTCAATATTATGAATTATAAGTTTAAGATTTGTTGATTATCTAGAAAAAAGAAACAAGGTTCACTTACCACATACTTTTGCACAGCATATATATATATATATATATATATATATATATATATATATATATATGGTAAAATATAGTTTTGTTAAAGTGCTCAATATCAGGGACACAATCATCAGGCCATGTGCATTGTTTTTTTAAAAAAAAAATGATTGTGTTTAGCATGAAACAGACTGTTGTCTCTGGGTGTTCAATGTCCACTTTATTTACATACATATATATATATATATATATATATATATATATATATATAT